GAAGAGCTTGATTTTTCTCGGAATAAAGATGGGATAAAAAAAATATTCTTTTAAATAAAAATATCAACGAAATTGTTAACTCTAATGCTTTATCCTCCCTTTAATACTTATCTACTCTTTCTAAAAAAACATGATGCTTAAAGTTGAATGATGAAAAACGTGAAGATGTAATGCAAACAACTGACAGATGGAGCTTCATGTAGCAATCTTGTATTCCCCAGGTGATTTTGTTTGATGTCTATGTTTTAACTCCCCCCTCCCCTCCCTTTCCCTTTTGCACTGATGATACAGCCTTTTAATTTTATTATCACTAAAGCGTGTCTATGATAAGACATATTTGCTTTATATATCATGCTCTAATACTTATTTTATGCTTGACAGAATATGATTTTTGTTTTTTTTGTTTATAATTATACATTTTCTTGTAACATCTATCTATCTATCAATCCATCTATCACTGTTTTTTAATAGCATAATTATTGCTGTGTTTCTGAAAGTTTTTCTATTATATCAGTTATTTTAATTTTAAAATTTGTGACTTATTTTGGACTAAAAAACGTAATATTTTTTAAGAGAGAAATTGGTTTTAAAAATTTCAATAATTGATAATTCTGAAGATTTTAAGCTAGAACATTTTTCAAATAGGCTTAAATAAGTAGTGAGAGAGTATATTTTGCAAAGCAAATCATGAAAGATTGCATAGCATCTTGGGTGTTAAGGAGGCAGACGTGTTTTCCCTTTTAGGGTTTTCATATTTAATAAATTTAAAAAAATTATTAAATTTAAATGTCATTTAAATTTAATAATTCATTTAAATTAATATTTCAATACTGCCATTAAATTTAAATTAAATATTTATTGTAAACCTATAGATATTAGTATAAAATTATATAGGTTATCATGAATTTTTGTCTTTGTTAGTGTCACGGGACAAAGTTTCCATTCACCAGTTTGCCTTTGGCACACCGAATATTTAGGGCAGACCAGTAAGTTTTGTCTTTGTTGGTGCGTTTTAAATCAAACTGCCCTATTTTTTTCCGGATTCGAGAGTTTCCATCAATTTCCTATATATCAGTGTCACAATACCTGGAAGATAGCAATCAGAAAATCTTTGAAGGCTTCAATTAAGAAACAGCATTCTAGTGCAGAAAGAACATAAAGTAAACAAATATAAATTGTTAAAAGTATGGGGACATATCTGATATTACTCTTATTATCATTTAATGTTATGTATCTTAATTATTTTTTATTGATTTATACTAGCTATCAAACAAAGTATTAAATGTTTACTTCAAATTAAATTTTATAATAAGGTCCCAAATAAAAAATTGGAAAACAATATTGCATGCTAAAAAAAAGCATTTGTCAAAATGTAAAATTGATATTACTTAAAGAAAAAAAAAATTCGTACGTTTTCGGATAATTTTCTAAAAATTTGGTAAATAAACTCAAAATTGGTTGTAAAATTCTTATAAAAAGTAATAGGTCCTTTCTTTATTCCGAGCTTTTTTTACTGGGTCCATTTTCTCTTTTTCGGGGGTACTTTTTTCCGCCTACCATCAACCTCCAGAAAAGATTTGACTGCTCTAGCTACCCGGAAAGCGGTCGTAATTTCGGTGGCCAGATTCGACCTACGGTCAAACTCGAGCGTTTTAATCTAAACTTTGTAAATTACATCATTGCTCAGTATTTGAACTAGTATATTAATATTTTGCTCGACTTTTGCGAAGCAAACTTCCTTATCAACTCTTTCAATATTTTGTTTCCCCCAAATTCTGCAAAATAACATCTAAAAGGAAACATCGAAATCCCGGTTTGATTGCTTTCATATCTATTTACTATCCGTTTAGAGCAAAAAAAAAAGTATAACATCTTATCTATGAGTCAAAGAGAAAAAAAAAATGATTCACTCGTAATAAACTTAAGAGGAAATGGTGGGAGGGGGGGGGATAATCATGCCGAAAACAACTTAACGGGCGGCAGGCTGTCTGTAAGATTGGTAAGGACTTACGATTGTAGAATATTTTTTCTTTTTTTCTTTTTAAAAGTTAACTGGGAAATCATAAACTCATTTTTAGGTGTCGCAGAGATAGTGAGGGAGTGTCCCGTTCACACCTGTGTGTGTCACCGGTGTCGGCGCTTTGATCTCATCAAATAGCGGTCTTTTTGAGGAGTCACGCATCTCCCTCCAATATCCTTTTGATTGGTGTGTCCGTTTTCTCTTTGGGACCACTGTCCTCTATTCTTATTTCAAGGTCAACAATGTTGACATATTTTCGATAGAATTTCCAAAATCAATGATGAAAAAAAATATGGGAATAGATTTAATAATATTTTGATGGTATGGCGTTTGTAATTGAATTACTGGATGTAAAATATTTGAAAATAAACGTATTCCTTTATTTATTATTACATTATATGTTATTCCCTATTTCATAATAGTTTATTAACTATTGCTATTATTTATTATTGTTCTAAAAATTTTACTTTTGTTTTAATAATTCTATGATATGGGGTAGTATTATGTAAAAAAGTCAAATAACCATTAAGGGGCCAAACTTTGGTTTCATCTGATCGCTAAACTACTTTATTTTATAACCGTTGTTGAACAGTTGACCCAATTTCGGGTTTACGTCTATCAATGTTCAACTCCGCATTCTTGTAATTTTGAACCAAACCCAGAAGACTAATGAACTCCTGGTTCAAGTATTGGGAGAAATTTTGTCTTCGTAGAGGACTTTTTGATGGAATAACCCGCATTTGCGTTACATGGATAGGAAAACCACGAAAACCTCTCACGGTTAACCTGACGGCTAGGGGACTCTAACCCATGATCCGCCTACCGCCGAGGACAATTTACGTCAGCACTGTTTACGGTGCGAGCTAAGTGCAGAATTCGAGTTGACCAGCCATTGCTGGTTCACCTCATTGGAAGTTTAACGCTCTATACCCTGAGCCTCAACTGCTCGGACTAAACTATTGAGACCACATTTTAATTTATTTTATAATTGGCGTTGAATACCAGACCCGATTCTAAGTTCACGATTAACAATTTTCAACTCCGTAGCTTTCCAAATTTGAACCTAATCTAGAAGACAAGGGTACGCTTGGATCGAGCATTGGGCAAACTTGCCTTCGTGGAGGACTTTTCGGTGGAACTAACCAGCCTTTGCGTTATATGGATAGGAAAACCACGAAAACCTCCATTGGTTAATATGATGGCAAGGGGATTCTAATCCATGATCCGTCTACAACTGAGGATATTTTATGTCAACACTGTGGACGGTACAAGCCGGGAGCAGAATTCGAATCAAACAGGCACCGGTGGGATACGAACCTGGGTCACCTCATTGGAAGGCGAACACTCTATTCCTTAAGCCACCAAGATGTTTCTGTATCTATTTTCGTTTTTTAAATTATCTGTGCTTAACTAATTAATTATCATACTTGAGTCATTAAAATATTTCATTTTTATCCGTGATTATCTCCTCTTTAGATAAGTTGCTCCGTTTTATATTTTGCGCACTACACAACAAATAATATGGACATAACCCAATACATCTGATAAATACTCCATTTGAACTAACTTTAATCTGAGAGAAATTTCACAAAAGTCATCAACCCCAGTTAAGTTTATTTAAATGTGTTTACATGTTTCTGGAACATCTTGCACAGATTATCTGTTTTCGCGGATAAGACCCTTTTTCTCCAAGGACGTCTCCAATTCATTGGGAATGAGTTACTTTATGAGACATCAAAGATTATCTCCATTTAACGAATAATAAAATTGTTCCAGCGAAAATAATTCATCACGAAAATTATTATACGACTTCTCTAATTCATTAGGAATGAGATAAAAGTCCCAACGATTTTAGGAGAAATGGTGATAAAATTCTAATTTTACCCCAAATTTACTTAAATTTTTCTGAGCGTGATAATTCTTGATTTTATGAATACATCTAAAAAAATAATTTTATTATTGAAATATAATGCTAGATAATTATCGATACATTTTATGAATCTCGGGAAAAATATACTTTAGTACAAAATACATAAATAACTAAAATACATAAATTTACATTCTCAATAATATGATAAAATTATAAAACATTACTTATTCAAATTTACTTTCTTTTGAGTATAATAAATATATAAGAGAACAGTTATGCTATTGAAAAACAACCTCAAATTATTAATTATTCACTTTATGGGTTTTAAGGACCAAAATATATATTCAAAAGAAACAGAAATAATTTTACAAAACTAGAATTATCTCAATAAAATAAAATTCAGTTTAAGATATTTATGATAACGATAAAGTACTAATTTTCTCAATAATTTATTTTAATTTTTATTGTAAGTAATTATTCTTGAGTTTATTTATATGTATGAGAAATAATTACATTTTGGAAAGATAATCAAAAATATAGATGTATACAAAAAAAATTGTGTTAACAAACAAAATTGTAGGTATGTTTTTAACTTTATTATCTGTAGAGAAAAGACAACTTTATAATTATTCTATAGATACCTAAGAACTTTAAAAAAAAAAGAAAAAAAATTGGATGATGGCAAAGTTTAAATTAAGAAAAGTTTGAAGGAAAATAAAAAATAAAATAAAAACAATTTAAAATAAATTATTAAAAACCAATAAGTAAAATAATCAGGTGTCTCAGATTAAACTTTATGAACAGGACTAACTTTGCTCCGTTTCCTATATTTAGTAGGTTATTCGTTTAGTTAAATGAAATACAATGAAATAAATAGCTTTTAATTAATTAGACGTCACCAAAATATTTTTACGAAATACCATTTGAAAGCATTTTGTTAGAAAAGAAAGTTGATATTTATGAAAAAAAAGTTTTTTTCCCCATAAATATCAGAAGGAGTCATGTTTACTACATACTTGAAGTCTTAATCAAAATAATTCAATGAGTTTTTGTTAAGTTTTTATACCCTACAAAAGTTATAGTTATATTACAAAGGTTATATGTAAGTATGAGGGAAACTTTCAGAAATTCTTCCTATTTGTAACTTTTGGTGTGTTTATTGAAATTCTTGTCAGAACTATCCATACGACGCAGTATATATTTGTCAAAATAAATGAACTCAAGAAATAAAAACAAACCGCTGAACAGATAAGGACGATTGAGAGAACTCGTTAAACAGTTGTTTTTGCGGTAAAGGAGAATCAGAATTCGAAAACCAAATACAAAGGTCTCTGGACAAAAGGATGCAGACGCCTCCGGAAACAGATCTCCTCCGGTGGGAATGTGTCAACCAAAAAACTCGTGACTCTGTCCTCTTAGATTTGTCTTTCAATCATCAATTTGTGACATCAAAAATCTTAGAAAGGTGGTAGAATATCGTTTGGAATATATAATGATTTGTTGATTTTGTGCGAAAACTGAATTTAGAGAAGGAAAAAAAAATCGTTTGGCATAATACTACGTTTGATTTGTGTTGCAAATAAATTTCGAAGAAAAAAGTAAGTATTTTAGGTATAATAATAGAATTGTTTTTCGAAATTAAAATTTCATTTTTGACATCGAATATCTTTAAATGGGAATGGAATATCATTTGAAATAATATTATATTTTTTTTTGTATAAAATGAATTGAGAAGAAAAAAATATCGTTTGGAATAATATTGCGTTTGCTTTGTAGTAATAGGAAAAAGGAAGAATAATGTAAGTAGTTTTAAAATAAATTATGTATTTTCTCAGATTGAAATTATTTACCTTTTAAATGCAGTTATTGAATTGCTAAATTAACACTTTTTTAAGGAAATTTGAATTAACAAATTATGCATACTTTCAATAAGACCAGTTCCATTGCAATCAAAAAAAATTTTTTTTTAATCATAAAATATCATTTGGAATAATATTACGTTGGTTTTGTGTGTAAAATATATTTTTCTTAATTAAGTAAGCACAAATAAGATAAGTGATAAAAAGCTTGAAAAAATGGAAGAATACTGTTCAGAATATATTAGGTTTGTTTCATGTGAAAGATAGATTTAGAAGAAAAAAAAGTGTCTTTCATTTCAAATTATAAGAAAGCTTCTTTTCTAAAAGTATTATTTCTGATTACGTTTATTAAGTTGTTAAATTGTCGAGTTATTGAAGAATATTTAAGTTAAAAAATTCAGTTCTGACATCAAAAATCTTAAAAATTTGATAGAAATTTATTACGTTTGTTTGTGAAAGATAGATTTAGTAGGAAAAAAAAGCTTCTTTCGCTTAAAATTATAATGAAGCTTCTTCTATTTGAAATCATTACTTGTGAATACATTTATTAAATTGTTAGATTGTCAAGTTATTGAAAATATTTGAGTTATGAAATTCTATTTTGACAACAAAAATCTTTATCAGATGTTTGATTTTTCATCGTATATATTACGCTTGTTTTATGAGAAAGACTTAAAAGCAGAAAAAAAGATGATTTTTATGGCATATGGTGGAATATTTCGTTTCATATAAAATTATATTCATTTAATTGATTCATTGAAATTCTAAGGAAATAAACCTTTTTATCCTATGAAATTGAATGTTAGGTTTATGTACAATATTGTGTTATATGCAAGTTAATTATTTTTTAATAAAAATATATTTCTATGACTTAATACGTGCATTTTTTTAAAATTGAAATCTTAGGACTATTGATTTGAAATAAGAGTTAAAATTTTAAAATTTAAATTAACGTAATGTATCAAAAATTAGTAAATTACGAAACCGAAAATTGTATCATTTTTAAATCAAATTTAACAAGATTACAAATTGCAATTTAAGATTGCAAAGTTGAATTACGTAACTTTTGCGATAATTTCCTCATATTCAAATGAAATTTTAAAGATTAGAAAATTAATGAATTCCATAAATTTTATGATAAATTACAAAGTCGATGAATTTTATAACTTTTATGAGAATCTCATAATTTTTAAAACAAATTTAAATATTACAAAGTAGATGAATTCCATAACTTTTATGAGAATCTAATAATTTTCAAATCAAATTTAAATATTACAAAGTAGATGAGTTTCATAACTTTCATGAGAATCTCATAATTTTTAAATCAAATTTAAAAATTACAAAGTAGAGGAATTCCAGAACATTTATGAGAATCTCATAATTTTTAAATCAAATTTAAAAATTACAAAGTAGAGGAATTCCATAACTTTCATGAGAATCTCATAATTTTTAAATCAAATTTAAAAACTACAAAGTAGAGGAATTCCTTAACTTTCATGAGAATCTCATAATTTTTAAATCAAATTTAACGATCACAAAGTTAATGAATTACATAACTTATGCGAGAATTTCTTCATTTTTCAGGTGGCGACGACGACGATGGGGAAGTCCATGCGTTAAGTTTGGACAGTTCTTACTTGGTGACATCGGACTCAGAGGGTAGTGTGCAAGATTTTGAACTTGACATGACTACTGATCACCAAGAAACACCCCTACCCAAAGAACTAGAACTTCGCGCTGGTTCTCAGCCACTAGAATACGCCCTCTGGGCAAGGGTAGAACTTAGTCGAGGTAAAAGGTTCGGTCCCATACCTGCTCAACTCAAAGATACAGAGCCACCTAGTCCCACTGTTTGGAAAGTATGTTACTGTGTTTTTTTCTTCCTTAAATAGAACATTTTATTTTGTTCAATTTTTATTCCATTTTTACAGATTGATTATTAACTCTTGTAAAAATGTCAAATAGTTTATCTTTTTAGTTTTCACCCTTATTTTTTTTTACTTGCCTATTTAGTAGGCCTCAGTTTTTTCTTCTTCTTAACAGAATTGATAGAAAACAAGGCTAAGAACCGCTACTGAAATACGTCGAATACGTATCCACAAATTTGTTTATTTGTTACTTTTATTTTTTTAGCACTTTTTCTCCATTTATTCACTCGCGATGTTAATTATTCAAATCGATCAAGTCTTCATAAAAAAAATATGATACAACTGTGCCAAAATCCACAGCTTCTTTCACCCGCACACTGAAATTAATTGTTGAGCATGCTTGAACCATTTTTGTTGAATATTGTGTTAAGTTGAACAATATTAAACTTTATTATATGATATTGTGGCTCAATTTGAACTAGAACATTGCTAAATCTAAGACCTTCCTAACATTGAAACGAATTTGCAACGTATTATTGTAATGGTATTGCTATAGTTCAATGCTGGATCAATTTTTCTTCGTCCTATTGTAAACCAATAAAAATATGTATTATTTTTTATAGTTATTTCTTATAAATATATATCGAGTTTGATAGAGTTATTGCAAGTAGTATATTTTATAACACAATAGTCGTGAAGATAAAATCTTTAACATAAAGAAATAAGTTTTAAAAAAAGGTAAAGAAGAAAATGTCTTATAAAATGTCTAATAAATATTAAATTTTATTTTTAAGAAAAGAAACTGTTAGTTGTCAAAAGTATTCTAAATCCCAATTTCGCAAATTCACTATATTTCTTTAATAAAGCTTTCAAAAATTTCGTCAAAAAAAAATTTTTTTTTTAAAAAAAGTTTAAAAAAATACTTAAAAAAGGAAAAAAAAAGAGTTTTAAAAAAATTATTTTTGAAAAAAATGTATGAATTAAAATTTATGAATCCTACTTTCACAATGTCAAACAAATCAGAAAGACAACTGAAGAGTTGGTAGATGTGGCAACGACGATTACAATATATTTGTCCAAAACAAATCTTCCTGATATTAGAACAGGACAGCGATCGTTAATCTGACGACCACAGAAGGAACGTGGGATTCCCTTAATTGCTGTCCAGAACTTCATATCCCTTGACCATTGGTCACAGGAGTACTCATCAACAACGAGGTTTTCCGGAATAAGCTCCTTGACAAGATTATGAGAAAAGGCGTGATTTATACACTACTCATCCCTGGCGCAGGGGATTATGGGACAACGGGTGATCCAGGATTTGCAGAGTAATGAAGAACCATTGCTGGCTCATCTTTTAGATGCCAACATCTTTACCTTGTCATATCTTTACCTGACATCATTGAATGCCGTCTAAGCTTAGGTGGGTTTTGTGTTAAGCCAATAATGAAACTTGTCGAATGGAGTTTGTTTTTAATTAAATTAAAATCGTATCTGATAATAATTTTCTTATTAGGTCAAATATACCTCTACAAAAATTGGTGGTAAAAGTTATTTTACTGACATAGAGTCGATGCTCTATATAACGCTCTATATATAGAGTCCAAGATCTCTATAACGAACCCTGTCACCCAGGAGAAAATGGACGTTATGATATGAGGTTGTTATATAACTCGTAACTAATTAATGGCGGACCTAGTTTGACATAATTAAGCTGTTTTTTAAAATTAATTAGAAAGCATATAAAATTATTGATGATAACATATTATGTTTAACATGTTGCGAGCATTTTGTTAAATAAGTAAGAGTTCGCGAAAATGCTTAACACTAAGTTCGAAGTGATATTATCGGAAAGGAAGAAAAAAATTAGTTAATAAAGTGAATATTAATCGGTATAATGGATTCAGTTGCTCAGTTTGGACACTCTAATGGGTGTTAATTTAGTGTTGCATCTTTGGAATAACAAATGGATCTGTCGTCCTAAAGGAAGGGTCTTTGTAATAAAATGGGTCGTTCTAAAAGACACATTATTATTATTGGAACTAATTATTATTAATTATAAAAGAAACATTATTATTATTAGGACTGTAACTGAAAAATATTCCTTTAATATAATACTTTTCTTCCTATTTATCATTAACTGTAGGAAAAAGCTCCTTTATACTGTAAATTGAACATATATTGTGAACAAATTATATGACCCCTTTAATGATTAATACTAGCTTTCTTGATGTTTATTGCTTAATTTACTTTCAAATTTAATAAGAATTCAGGCTTATATTTATTTAAATTTTATTTTCAAAATCAATTATACATTGCATATTGCATATACATTATATGACTCCTTCACTGATTAATACCATCTTTCTCAATGTTTATTGCTTAATTTACCTTCAAATTCAATAAGAATTCTGGTTTTAATAAATTTATTTAAATTTTACTTACAAATTCAATCAAACCTTTATTTTAATTACAATGGGAATTTAATCACAAATTCAGTACGAATTTTAAGTTCAAATTCAACAAAATTTATTTTCAAGTATAATTAAACTTAAGTTTCATCTTGATGGAACTTTATTTTCAAATTCAATAAAAGTTTAATTTCATACTCAATTTAAATGTATTTTCTTACTCAACTAAGAAATTAATTAAAAATTGAGTTTTGATACTATTAAAGAATTAGTTATTTAGTGCTTATTAGTTAAAATTTTTTGTTTCCAATAGAAAAAAAAAATCACAAAATTTATCTGTTTATTTAAGACTGCGTTAAGCCATAAACAGGCCATTCGAATGTTGAGGATCCAACTAAACTTTTTATCGTAATGGAGAGACACTAAGATAGATTGTACTTCCTTTTAGCACCAAATCAAAAGAAGGCCATCAAATGGCCAGCCACGTTATCTGGCCAACTCAAGCCATTTATTTCATTATCCGGTGAAAGGCTATTCTCTGCATTGTTTCCGAAAGGTGATATAACCATTGGGGATAAATGTCCCTCACCCACCTAATGTGCAATTTCGATCTTGATTGACCGTGGAACATCATTTGTGGAAATAGGCTGCTTGAATAACGTAAAAAAAAAAAAAATATATATTAGGTTGATTTAGCTGGAGATTGATAGTATGTTAAAATAAATTTAGAATATGTAAATTAAGCTGGCATGATTTATATTTTAGAACATGAAGTACGCTTTTCCTAGCGTAACGTTTTTATATAACAATAAGTTTATTTAATTTTCAATCGCATAACATTCATAAATAGCAATAATTTTGACTATTTCTCCAATTTTGAAATGTCCAAAAGTCAGAATATTTCCATCTTATCTTCGTCTGCATAATGCTCAAAATGTCCAAAAGTTGGAATATTTCATCTTATCTTCGCTTGTATAATGTCCAAAAGTTGGAATATGTCCATCTTATCTTCGCTTGTATATTGTTCAAAATGTCCAAAAGTTAGAATATTTCCATCTTATCTTCGCTTGTGTAATGTTCAAAATATCCAAAACTTAGAATATTTCCATTTTATCTTCGCTTGTATGATGTCAAAAATATCCAAAAGTCAGGATATTTCCATCTTATTTTCGCTTGTATAATGTTCAAAAGGTCCAAAAGTTGGAATATTTCTATCTTATCTTCGCTTGAATGAAGTCTATCAATAATTCTTTAATGTCTTCTAGAATGCTTGTATAATGTCTAGTAATAATTTCGTGACTGTATCTTCAGTTGTCAAACAGTCTGAAGTTGCAATGATCCTTTCTTACCTAAAATTGAATAACTTTCATTTCTAGACAAAATGTTAGCTTATTTCCCATTTTAATATGTTCATAAGTTGCAATAATTTTTCCTTGTCGTCAATTGTATTAAGTTTATAAATGTGTCGTGATCAGTTGTGTCGCTTTCATGAACAGAATTATCCAATCTTATCTAAAATAGCATAACATTCATAGATGGCATAGCCATAATTTTATCGTACCTCCGATTGTGCAATGTCTATAAACTGCAATAATTCCGCTTAATCTTCAATTGCATAATGTTCAGAAATAGGTATAATTCTATTGTATCTTAAATTGTATCTCGTTTATAAATCACAACTATTTTATTTTTGTCTTCAATTGTATAACTGTCGTAAGTAGCAATACTTTTGCTATTTCTCCACTTGTATAAGCTAATTGATTTATTTAAATGATCATAATTATATTTCTTAATCGGAGCGCTTAAATGAAGTTTTTTTCTGAAATTTTATCAAAGTTATTATTTTTTTCCTTAAAAAAAGAAAAAAAAATGTTGAATGCTTACTTTCTAAACGCACAATTCAATCCCCCCCCCCCAAAAAAAACGTCCCCATCTTCTTACCTGAATATATGGAGCTATTTACTAAAGTTACACATTGAAAGAATATAAAAATAAACAAGCTTAACAAAATGAAAGAAAAAAAAAAGTCAAAACATAAAAAGTATTATTTCTTATTCGCATTAAAAAAGGCGATTGGGGGAAAAATGAGTAAATGATTGAAAAAAAGTGAGGGGAAGCCTCCAAATCAAATATTTCTAACCTCAAATTTTCCCTATGAGAGGGAAAAATAGCTGAAAGCCAGAGAGCTGTCACATCGCGGAAGATGATCACAACAACCTCTCGATCTCAGATTAAAGCCAACAGGTCGGGGAGGTAATATCCCCTTCAGATATCCCCCCAAACGATCTTTACCCCGAGGGGTCAGGGAGATATGAACAATAATTCATTCCCAAAACACTAAACGATATCTGAGGGGTGTGGTGGGGATATTATTGAATGGAGATAGGGGTAAATGTTAAATTCTTTTTCTATCCCCCGTCTGTTGAGATTTTGTCGTCAGGATTTGTCAGAAACAGTAGTTGGATATCCAAAATTGTAAACACAATTTTAGAACGCTTTAGAATTATTTTTATTTTTTGATGTCTAAATTTTTTTTTTATTTCTTCAGGATTTTGTATCTTTTCTTGCGATTTTTTATTT